GAACATTCAGGGACACAAATTGGAGCTCTGTCTGTCTGTCTGTCTGTCAAGAGCACAAGACTATACGTAATTCTCACATTCTGGTCTGGCACATTTGTCAAATCTAAAAGTTGCTAAAAATACTGTAGCACATTTTCAAACGTGGAGTTTTTCCTCAAATAATATGAATAATTAGCAGCAATTTGATCATTGTTACAGCTGTCATAAAAGTAAATCTCACTATCATGAAGAGATAATGAAAATGCAGAGCAGCATATTCCGCTAACTGACAAAAACAAAAAATCAGTAGTTATTGATCTTGCAGTGTAATTGCTGGTTTGGCATTTATCAAAACACTGTGAGTTTGTTATAAAAGGAGAGCTGAATAAGAAATGCACTTGGCTAAAGCATGCAATTACGGGTTATTAACATACTCATGTCTTGCATCTGACAATAACCCACTTCCTCCCAGGAAGGAAATCATTATAAAGAATTTGACATCTATTTTTTATTATTATTATTATTATTATTATTAAGGTTAAAATCTGAATATATGATATCTAAATTTATATCCTCTTTACTCACAAACACCAGCCACACTATGTATCAATATTTTATGCTGATCTACTACTCTGACCATCAGTGCCTAACCCTAACCAACATTTAATACATAGCAGAAAAAGTGTGTTTCTATTACATAAAAGCCAAAGTACTCTAATCTGTTTTTTTTCCCCGTATATACCTTTTTTATATAAATCTATTTTAGAAATCTCAACTACTGCTTCCAAAGTAACGCTCCCTTCCATCACCCTTCACCCTTCCTTGGTATACATTGATCAGCATAAGAGGACAACTGGATAACTCATATACTGTGATGTATCGATAATGAAGTACAACTATGACACACGAATTATGTTAGGAATATACATTTATGGAGCCTTGATGGTTGAACACATGCTTCCACTACATACATATCCAAATTTCTCTGTGCCACTGTTCCAGTTATGCACTCCCAACAATGAGACTCCTCACTGACATATGCTTTACCGAGGTATCATCCATTAACAACCACAAACAATTGCCTAACTTTGTATACCCATTGGTTAATTAATCTAACTTTAGTCTTCATGACTATATCTCAACACGAACCCAACCTATTCTATCAACCCTGTTTATTTTGAATACTGTAGTCTTCCGACTATCGTAATTTTTTAAACCACTGTAACAATTGTAAGTGTCAATCAATAGCTTTTAAAAAAATGCAAAGTATACGATCATTGTTTTGCATGCAGTCCATTGCATTTGTGGTCGCATCATTGATGCTATCCAGAATATGGTCTGTTACAACTGATCACTCAATAAAATTCAATGGTGGTTCTTTGCAGCTTTTTCATCTGCAACCAATATCACTCATGTTAACTGTGTATAGTTAAGTAAAAAAAATACATAACAAAAACACATGGGTAAGAGGTCTTCTCTAAGTATCTAACTATTTCCAACCATTTAGAAGTTGTGATAATGAATAATGTGATGTCAGGTGGATTATGGATAGAGAACATGACAGAGCATGCCTAGCCATCTCTTACATAAAGGTGGACAATTGCTCTCAATTTTGTTGTAAGTTATTAATACTCTGGGCCAATCTGTTCCAAATCTATGGAGACTTGGTTAAACTACTACTACTGCTGATAATCATTAACGTTTACAATCTAGGTCTCAATTTAATATTATTGGATAAGCTTTTCAAATCAGTTTAATAATTGTTTAATATTATGAAAAATAAATTTTAATTTTAGAGTTTTTTTTATATTTTTTGATATATTCATATTTTTTCATATGATATATTGTTTGATAAATGAATATGTTAAAAAACATTTTTTAACCATGACCCGAGTCAAAAATAAAGAATTAAAAAAAAAAACATTTTTTTTTAAAGTTTATCAAAAATATTAAATCATTTGGAAAGTTATTAACAATATTAAAGGTATACTCCAGGCACCCAGACCACTTCTGCCCATTGGAGTGGTCTGGGTGCCATCTCCCACCACCATTTACCCTGCAAGTATAATTATTGCAGTTTTTATAAACTGCAATAATTACCTTTCAGGGTTAAGTCCTCCACTATCGGCTGTCTATGAGACAGCCACAAGAGGGATCTCAGTGTTCTTAGAACATGAAAAGTGTTTTAAACGACGCAGGACGTCCTCACGCTATGTGAGGACCTCAAGCGTCGCCAAAATCCCCATAGGAAAGCATTGAATAATACTTTCTTATTGGGAGGACTCAGGCAAGTCACTGAAGGGGCACCTGATGGGGGGTGGGAGGATAGAGGGGCACTGCAGGAATATGTTTTCCTGGCACTGGAGAGTACCTTTAAATTGAGGATTTGACTAGTTGTTGGCTGAAAACACTTCAGAGATGACACAACACAATGTAGTGCTGAACGAGCATTCAAAGTTTATTGCGCAGATATAAAATATATATATAAGGCACATTTGTATAAGGGTGTATACATCAGCATCATTATCAACCAATCAAGGTTGGTCTTTGTATACATCAAAAGTGAAAACATAATCTCCATATAAGGTTTAAAATAAAGATGGTATAAGTTTTGGGCGTAGCCAGAGGAATAACTTGAAACCACCAAGCCCCAGTGAAGTTGTGATTGCACACAGTCGCAGAGTTCACCGCTGTGGCCGGGCCCCAGTTCGACCATGCTTGAAGTTGTGGTTGCACACAGAGTTTGCAGCTGTGACCGGACCCCCTGGAGTGACTGGACTGGTTGCACCTGTGGCCCAGGCGACCATATTAGCTACACCACAGGGCATAGCCCAGACATGCGGTTATGTACTTTTCTATTGTCAGAACAAATAACATTTTAGTAAATATGTTAAAAGTAGTTTAGTAAAAGACATTGTAAATGATAAAAAGCATGTTTTCTTCACCTGCCAGAATGTGATTAATACTAGCTCAAACCGGGTAACAAAGAGCCCCTAACCACAGGTAAAATAATTTTTTTTGTCTGTTTAGCAAAATACAATTTTAATTATTCTAAAGCATAAGTATCTGGTTACATGTATATTAATTGTATCCAGGCCAATTAACCTTGGTCCCTTTATTAGTATATACAGGAAAGCACGTTGCTTATAGAGATATTGGGAAACTAAAACTCTTATCCAATTGCTAGAAACGCAAAGAAAGGCCGGAAATAGGGAATCAAAAAGCGTGAAAAAACATTGAGATAATATTTTGTGGATACAGAACATAGCTTACATTTTTTAATACACAAAATAACCAGTGAACTAAGGCCTCAATTTAATAAGCTTTCTAAAGTATTCAGCACTGTTAAAATCACTTTCCAAATCATTAAGTTTAGACATTAATGGTGACTTCTGTAGCTAAATCATTTTGTAAAGTTTTTCTAACAGTATTGAATCATTTAGAAATTAAATTGAGGCCAAACTGACAATATGTGCACCAAACTCAATGTGAAGACCATGTTAAAAGATAAGAAAGTGATGAGATGAAGTGGATATATGGTCTAACATCCTTTCACACAATAAAGCTTAATGCTGAGTTTGATTTATTCAATTTTCTAAACTGAATAACAAATGTTTGTATAATGTTTTTTTATTTTGCGATAAAATATGTGATTTACGATGAAATTATTTGCCTTCTTTTGGAGAAGTGAGTTTCTTTATAAATTGTGTATTACATCATAGAATGTGTGACATAGAATAAGAAAATCAATTTTTATTTAATTAGGTGATATAATGCAGGGAATCATATAGTATGAAAACTGGAAAAAATGAATTCTCTATGATTTGTGGATTTTCCACTCATTTGCAGGTTTCATAGCATACAACAAAGACTGAACGTATTCCATATTTAAAAACTGAAACAAAATCAAAACTGTAAAATATAATTTGGAACTTGAATCCAAGAAACGTTCTGTGAAGACATACTCAATACAAACATTAGCTTCATGTAGATGGACGGCAGTATGAAAGGCAACTGCTATACCATTTAAGGTTGGATTTATAGATGAAGATTACAACAAACGAGAGATAATTTAATATCCCAGCCCAGGAAGAAATAACATCTGAAAAATAAGTCAGTCTGCTACAATCAGTAGGTCTGATAAAAAGGAAAAAGTAGCTCTGGTTTATTTTTTTTACCAGTAATATAAAATTAAATTGTAGCATGTGAAATACCAAAATGACTGTGATTTTACTGACTGACTCTCACTTCTTCATCCCAAGCAAAATCATCTGGACATGCAGGCATGCAGACCTGGGGATCAACAATTTCAGGAAGGTGGGCATTGTGGTGAGTAGTAGAGTAAAACTCCAGCAAAAATAGTTATCATTACCCTTCTTAAAGGAACTCTCCCAGTCCCATAACAACTTCTGTTTATTGAAGTTGATATGGGTGTAAGATGGTCCGGGCACTGTTTTATCTTCAGTGGTTTAACCAAGAAGTTAATCCTAAAACTGCTGACCCTTGATTTTATTTTCTGCTGTCGCAGTATGAGGAAGGCATATCTCCCAACATTGGGATGTGAGCTATTTGGATGAGTGGGCAGACCTGAGAGGGGGCATCCCTGGTCACATGATTCACATCACTGAAATGGGGCAGGTCCACCCACTGAAGGACTGAAGGGATGTGTCTGGTTGGCCCTCAATCTGCAGGACCTTGCAAAGAGACCTGCTGAAATACTCTTTGCCAGTGTCAGTTTCCCATAAGGCAGAGTAGGCACCTGCCTACAGGCACTTGATCACCAGAGGGCCCCTGTTTTCAGACCTTTTAATGTACCTTTTTAAGCTTAAATAGGCTGGTGGGTGAGGTAAGTACCAGAAGCATTGACCAGTGTCCTCTGTAGTCTGGTCAGCATTAAAGGGACACTATAGGCACACAGACCACTTCAGCTTATTAAAGTGGTCTGGGTGCAGTGTCCCAGCCCCCTTAACCCTGCAATTGTAATTGCAGTTTTTGATAAACTGCAATAATTATTGTGGAGGATTAACCCTACCGCGAGTGGCTGTCTGCCAGACAGTCACTAGAGGGACTTTCGGGTGGTTACCGACTATGGGGCTTTGAGTGACATGCTGCATAATCCAAAGGGTTTTGAGTGACATCCAGCGTCACTCAAAACCTTGTAGGAGAGCATTATACAATACTTTCTTATGGGGGAAATGCTAATGCTATCATTGAGCTCTCCACACACACGCATTAGGAGCAGACATTGGCACTGTAATAAGGTAAGTGACAGTAGGGTTTTTTAACCCCTTATGCACCCTGGAGGGGGGCAATGGAGGGGGCACTATAGGGGGCTATAGTGCTAGGAAAACTTTGTGTGTATGTATGTGTTAGTGAGTGTATATGCCAGTGTGTGTGTATGTGTCAGTGTGTGTATCTGTGTGTCAAGATGTGTGTATTTGTCAAGGTGTGTGCATGTGTCAGTGTGTGTAGCGTATAGCATGTGTAAATAGTTGCCACATGTTGTTAAATAAGTTGTTGTGCTCTGTCATAATAAAGTGTCATGTCCCTGTTAATACATGTTTGGTGGCTGTGTATGTGTGTGTGTGTGTAGGAGGGCTCAGTAGCTGGTGAAGCCACCTCTTTATAATGAGTTTTTTGAATGTTGGGATGTCTGGACTGGGCAACAGTTGGGTGAGAACCTTGCAAATAACCCTTCATTCCCACTGTTCTAATATAATAGCAAGTTTTAACTGTACAATATAGAATTCAGGCCAGAGCATGTTTTTTTTTTCGGGGGGGGGTTACCTCAAGGGCTTTATCCCATAAATTCTTTGTATTATACAATATATAATGTTGTTTAAATGTATAATGTACAAAACATAGTTAATTAATAAACCAGGCCAATAAACTTATGTATGCATGTAAGAAGTACAGACTCTTACAATTTTAAACATGAAGAAAAAAGTAGAGAGTTTTATATCTTGGGTATAAAGTGATAACCTTGGATCTTTCGCTCAAACAGCAGGGATAATAATCATACAATCAACAGTGTGCAGTGTCAGTGTGCACTGAGTGAATGATCAAATTCAACTTCCACAACATGAAAATGACAAGTGTACAGACATAGTTCCATAGCTATAGAAACTGTCAAGTTTACAAATGTGCAGCTGATAAAATGCAGCAGGGTATCTTACATTAGCCAAAATGAAATTATTTATATCTCTTTACCTTCATTATATCTGACAGTGGGAGACAGAACTCCAAAAAGTTTAATTGTAGGGTGAAACAGTATCCTGCCATTTTTATGTTATTTTTTTACGTGGGCTGCATGCTTAAGACAGGTAAACACAATACAGCCATTTTAACCCTGCAGTAGCTGTCTTCGAACATAAAATGGCAGTAGGGATGCAATATTGGCATAGCATCTCAACCTACATTAACAGTAGATAAAGTGAACAAAAAAAAACAAAACACTAGCTTCAAAAGTATAACCCAGTGTCTTCATGGAAGGTGGAAGTTGCCTATTTTCTGTCAGCAAAAGTTTTAACAATAAAGTTTTTTTGCACAATAAAGCCAGCATGTAATGGTGTAGCCATGGATGTACTCACCTTTGTCCACTGCCTCTTTATATGTGGGCAGTCTGTAAGACTGCAGCCAAATAAGAGCACATACTTTGAGTGTATTGATATTTGGGCCCTTTTTCAAGAATATATGTGGGGTCCCTTATCTCCTGATGGAACTGTCTACTTTAGAGGATGTTACATGTGCATGCCTGAATGCAGGTCGTGCCTTTCCTGATTATGTTAAGATTATGCCTTTCCTTAATATTTTATTAAGAATAGTTATTGACTGAATATTTATATGTGCCTACAGGGCCGCCAACAGAAATTTTGGGGCCCCTGACAAAGCACAAGGTCTGGCTCACCCCTCCCCCTTCTGCGCCCGCCCCACCCGGCCCGCCCACGAGTCCGCCCACAGGACTCCTACCTAGTCCGCTGACATTGATGCAGGACTGAATGTGGAGTGTATAGTGGAAGTGAATTAGAATGTGTGTAATGGATGTAGTGTTTGTGTGTATTAGATACTGTTTCTGCAGTGAATGCAGAGTGTGTGTTTGTGTAGCGGATGCAGTGTGTATAGTGAACGCAGAGTGTGTTTGAGTAGTGGATGTAGTGTGTGTTTGAGTAGTGGATGTAGTGTGTGTTTGTGTAGTGGATGTAGTGTTTGTGTGTACTAGATGCAATGTGTTTAGTGGATGCAGTGTCTGTAGTGGATGTAGTGTGTGTATTTTCAAAGTCCCACGAGCTCCAGCCTTTGCCAGAAATGAGGTTGGATCTGCCCCGCTGCGTCCAGGCACCACTTCTGACAGAGGCCTGGAGCTCGTGGGACTTAGAAATTTTTTCGCCCTGAAAAAACATTTTCAAGGGAGAACTCGCCCTGCGGGGAATGGGCACGCGAAATCCCCACAAAACTTGCATCGCCTGACAGACCCCACCTGGGGGACCAACATATCCAAAAATCAGCCAGATCCCTTCAGGT